GGCTGAGACCGAGAAGGAGAGACAGCTCAAGGCAGGGAGCATTTATCAGGTACTATGTGCCAGGCACCCTGCGAAGAGACAGGGGCAGAGGCTGGAAGGCACAGAGAGGGAGGCTCAGCCAGAGAGTAAGAGGCAGGGAGACAAAGAGACATCGGCTGAGACACGAATGCAGACAGCGAACCCGGCAGAGGGGTCAGAGGCAAAGAGACAGGGAGAGAGAAAGAGAAAGAAAGAGAGAGCGAAAGAGAAAGAGAGGCAGAGAGAGAGACAGAGGGGGGAGGGGGAGAGAGAGACAGAGAGAGAGAAAGGAAGGGGGAGGGGAGGAGGAGCAGGGAGGGGAGAGAGAGAGAGAGACAGAGAGGAGGGAGAGAGAGACACAGAGAGAGAGAAGTGGGGAGAGAAGGGGGAGAGAAGAGAAAAGAATGAGACAGAAGTTCACAAGGAGAAGGGGGGTGGGGAGGGAGAGGAGACAAAGAGCCCCAAGCCCAGACTGGGCCAGAGAAGAGACACATCAGAGGAGAGGGAAACAGAGAAGGGGAAAGAGAGGGAGAGAGTGAGTATGAATCAGAGACAAGAGGTCAAAGGTAGGGAGAGACAGGCACGTGGGCAGAGACAGGCCCCCAGACACAAGTCAAGGGCAGAGGGAGACAAAGAGACATGAACAGACTGGACCAAAGAAAGAGCTAAAAAACCCCCCAAAACCGAGGTCCAGAAGAGTCCAGACAGGGACAAAGAGACACAGGCAGAAGGGAAGGGAGGAAAGGAATAGGGGTGGGGTGAGGCAGGGACTGAAGCCACATTTCACACACAAATCACAAAGTCACGCCATGGATAAAAATATCAAAATCATGTCTGATGGGCATGAATGGCACATCCCTAGGGGATGCCATGGCCTTCTGCCAGACCTGGCCTCCACCTGTGCTACTTCCTGTAAGTCAGCACCTGAAAACAGAAGCACGCTCTCTCTTCTCCCCTACCCTTCAGGCCAGGCGGCAGAGGGGTTCACCATTGGCCTCAGCCTTCTAAAAAGGCCTGCGCTGAGCCCCCAGCTCAGAGGAGGTCCTTTGCAGGAAAAAAAGCCTCTCTCGCCCTGAGTGCCCATCTGACCTTGGCCTAGAGCCTCCATGCCGCATGACCCCCACACACAGACCTGCTGCCTCAAAGAGAGTTCTGTGCCCCAAGAAGGGAATTTCAGTCCACACAAAGGGGCTTTTCTTCCTCCGGCATTCAAGCCTCCCAGGAAGCTTGTCCCTCAGCCCTCCTTGGCCCTGTCTAAACCTCAGCAGGGCCTTAGCCTTATTCATCCCATGGATCCCAAACCACTGGCTGAAGGACCCTTGAAGTGGCCTCCACCACAGGATCCAGGGTGGGAAGGGGCCAGACCTCTCGGCGGTGCGCAGAACTCAGAAATCATCTCCCACCTCCATGCACACACCCTCTCCCTCTCCTCGCCTCTGCCTCTCAAAACCTTCCCCATCGTTCACAGCTTAGCTGAGGGACCACTACTGGAAGCCTTTCCCAATCCTCCTTGCTGATGGTGCTGTCTCCCTCCCTGAATTATCTTCAATTTCCCATGAATATAAGTTGTACTGAGACAGGCACTTAATGCTCATTGAATCACAGGACGGCAGATTCAGAGCTGCCATCAACCAAAGCATCCCAGATTTAGGGCCAGAAGGGACATCTATCCCCACTCCCAACACCATTTTGCAGACGAGGAAACTGAGGCCCCACTTGGCCAAGGTCACATGGGTGGCAAGCAGACCAGGCCAAAAGAAGTCCCCACAAAGCAGGCACCAGGATCATCAGAGTCACTGAAATACAAGTCTGGAAGCTCATGGCGTCTGGGAATGGAATGAGTTCATAGACAATCAGAGGTTTTGAGCTGGAATGGGCCGTTCACAGTAACTTAGTTCAACCCTGTCACTATAGAGATGAGGAAACCGAAGCCCAGCGAGGGGACATGACTGACCCTAGGTCATCTAGACAGCAGTGAAATCCAAGTTCTCATCTCCAATTCCAGCATTCTTCTCACTAAATCAACCCTGCCTCTTGCAAATAAAAGGAAAATAGGGAACAGGGGATGGAAACCCTAAAAAGAAAAAAAAAACCCTCTCCCCAAAATAGCTCCATCTGGCCTTCCTAGCCCCGAGAGCCAACTCTGGGAACATTCAGAACCAATGCTAAGGGAAACAGGCCTTGGCCTGCCCCGGAGTACAGCTGTCTGCTGTTTACGTCCTGCATCCCTGACCGAAGGCTGCCTGGGTCAGTGCCACCTCTTCTAATCTTTAACAGAACATTTCACAGAACAATCCTGCCTCTCTGGAGACCCATGGCTCTTCTCTCCCTTAACCTCCAACCCATTGGGGTTGGGTTTCTTCTTCCTCTCTACCGGCTGCTCCATCAAAGAGGGCACCACCATTTTTTTCTCTTATAGACATCTTCTGGTGGTATCGTATACCACTGAGGTTCTAGATTGTGGAAATGTCACTGTGAGTTTGCTATCTCCCAATAGAAAGAAATAGGGTGATAGGCCTTGCCTTGGAAAAAAAGCCACTGATGGGACGGGCATGGATGGAAAGCTATCTTGTTTAAAAGGTCACTGCCGTGGAGGAGAACCATAACCACAGGCTTGCAGGCCAAGTGATACACTAAACCAGATTTTCTAAAAAGACCAGTACCAACCACCAAACCACTCTCGGCCCTAAGCCCAGTTAAGAAAAACAACTATATACCTTGCTGGCCTAGAGCCCCCACATGCCCAGAACTCAACTCAAAGGCTCAAAAGGATGGCAAGGGGGGGGAGGGTGTGCAGCAAATAGGCCACTCCAAAAATCTCATCTGGTAACCAAACCAAAGCAAGGTAGGGGTGGGGAGCCAGCCGAAAAACCAGATCCCAAAATGAAATTCTAAAAAAACCAGAATGCCAACCGGCAGGCCAGGAGATGATGAGAGGTCTAGCTTCAACCCCTGGATTAAGCCTAAGAGGAAAATAAACATTCCCCATGCTGGCTGAACTCTGGGGTGGGCACAGAAACAGTCCCTCCGAGCTGAAGGAGGTGGTTGCATCTGCCCTCATGCAGGCAGCTGGGGAGTCCTGCTGGGCGGCTGAGAGCCTGATAAGCAACCAGCTGGAGCAGCTGTCAGGTTGCTGGGGCCTTCCACAAGGTTCTCTTTTGAATGGGGACGGGGCAAGGAGGCAAGAGAACAGGAGAGAAATGCGTCCACTCTATACATCTGTATGTTTGGATGCAATGAGAAAAGTGGTGGGCTGCTTCTCCTAATAGGTATCTTTCTTCCCACTGGAGCGTGACGCATAAGGAGACCCAGAGAAAGAACACTTCTCTTTATGGAAAACTTTCCCATCTGACCCAACCCATGATGTAACAGAAGAAGGTTCTCAGATAAGGTCTGGTTTTTTGGTGGTTAGTGGATTTTATTTTATTAATCATTTTATAAGGCTGCATTTCCGGAATTTGGTAATCCCTTTAACACCAGGTTCTGAGTCAGAATAGACTGGAACAGCCCAGCCTCACAATCCTCTTCTCATGGTTCTGAATATTCTTTGTCCCCTGGTAAGCCAAATCAGTCCATTGTCCCGGCATCTAGCCACTCCGAGGCAACCCATTTCAATAGGAGGGCTCGGAGCACGTGGACGTTATTGATTCTTCCCCCCCCTTTTCTTTCTTTTTGGTTGGATTTGGCTCGGGAGGGTAACTACCAACTTCTGAAGCCTCGCTTCCAGTGTTTAGAAATTAAGTCCACTGAGACCTTAACAGGAGAGGGGACTTTAAAAAAAAGTAACACCACCATCACCTAAACTTGTCAACCAAACCTAAAGTTGTACCTTTGCGTGTTTACATATAGGTCAAAACATCCTGAAACATTATAAGCCGTCCAGCGAACTTCTGGGAACACTCCTCCTCCCTCCCAGCCCACAGGCCGAGGGGGAGGGGGCGGGTAAATCCATGGGAAAGCAAAGTTGAAAGGAGGGACACGCGGGGAAGGGTTCCACCCAAGTGGGCTTGGCTAAGCCCGAACACGCCGGCTTCTGGAAGCCAAGGTGGGCGCTCCCACTTCACTGCCTACCCCCGGCAGGAGCTATACCAGCCCAAGGTTAACAATAAGCCAAGTTTCGGTCATCTCGGATGAGGCGGCTGCCCCAATAACAGTCGGGGGGTGGGTGTAAAGTGGGGTGTATTTACAAGCCCCCCCAGTTCCAACACACATCTTTTCTGGGGCAACAGCGGCACCCTGAATACGAGACGGGGCTGATGTTTGTCGGCGCCGCGCCGTGGGTCAATTACAAGGAAATTGACCAAGCTCGCTCCAGGGCGGGAGGGGTGGGGGTCGGCCCCGGCTCCCGTGCGCTCGCTCCCCCTCCGAAAGCGCTCCATTCGAACAGCTCGCGCTCGGCGGCCCCGGCAGACTGCGGGGCGCCGGCGGGGGAGGGGCGGGGGAGGAGGAGGCGCACCCCCCCACCAGCGGCACAATGGAACCCCAGCCCCGGCCGCCCGACAGCGCGAAGCATCCCGCCCGGGCCCGCGGCCGCCGCACAAAAAGCAGCTTTCATGTGACTCGCGGAGGACGAAATGGCTGCTGGGTCCTGCCTGGATTTCCCCTCCCCGCCGCCGCCGCTGCCTCCGCCCCGGGGAGCGGCTCCGGGCTGCGGGCGGCGGGCTCGCGCACGGGCGGGCTCGGGGCCGCCGCCGCCGCGCCAGGTGGGCTGGGGAGCAGCCCGAGCCGCGGCGCGAGCGCACCTGGGGCAGCCGCGCGGCTCGGCTCTGGCTCCGGCGCGGGCGCCCCCTGGGCAGGTGACCCGGGCTCGGCGCGGCGCGGCGCGACGCGGCTCGCGCTCCCTCCCGCCTCCCCCCCGGGCCGGGCACACTCACGCGCGCACACACGGCCACACTCACACACGCGCGCACGCCCGGAGGGCGGCCGGCCGGCTCGCTAGGTCCCCCTCCCCTCCCCCTGCCGGGGGGGCCGCCCCCCCTTACCATTTGCGCACTTTCTCGATGGCCGCCATGACCCTCTTGATATCATCTTTGGCCCGGCTCCTGGTCTCGGCTCGAACCGACCGGCCCGACATGGTGCTGGCTAGGCGAGCGAGGCTGCTGGAGCGCGCCCTGGCCCTTCTCGCTTTCCCCTCCTCAGCCGCGCACTCCCTCGCACGCACATCCACACACACACACACACATGCATGCATCCACACACTCACTCACACACTCGCACACATACACACACTCCCGCACGCACACACACACACTCACACACACATACAGACACACAAAGCCTGCTGCCGCCGCTCGCTCCGGGCCCAGTGCGCAGGCGCCCAGAGGCCGCGGCGGCGGCGGCAGGAGGAGCAGCCGCAGCAGCAGCAGCAGCTCCGGGCAGCGGCGGCAGAGGCAGCAGCGAGCAGGGCCAGTGGCCCGGGCTGCAGCGGCCGGGTCACGGGAGCGAAGGGGAAGCCGGCGATGGGGGGCTTCTGCGCTCCGGGGACGTGCCCGAGTCAAGTTCTAGTATGTGCGACGCTCCGGGGGCTGCCGCATTTCCCTCCCCGTAATAAATCAATCAATAAATGGGCATCTCCGGGGCTTCTGGGCTGGGGGTGGCAGCGGGACCCACACTTCGTCCTGCCCTTTGACAGATGCAGCCCTGAAAAGGTCACCCGCGACTCCCTGCGCCCCCAGATCGGACCTCGCAGGGAGCAGGGGGGAAGGGAGGGCCCGACGCGGCTGCACGCTGCATTTCCCACCTACTGGCGCCCCTCTCCCCCTCCCCCCACGCCATCTTTCCTCAAAAGCGCCAAGAGCGAGCGCTTTCGCAGGCTCTGCTTTCGAGCCTCGGGATTCCTGCGTTCTGTGGGCTCTTCTTGGACTTCGGGGGAACGGAACTCGTTCCCTTCCCCGCCCGGGATTGCTTGCATTCCCCAGGCAGTATTGCAAGTTTCCTATGGGCCTTTGCCACGTCTGGAGGCTGAAAGCTACCATTCCGGGACCTCAACTTCATTTTGGAAAAGTTACAGCTGTTTTCTCCCCTTTGTTTCAAGAGAAGGGCAAAAACAAAAAAACACAAATACCCTTCCCTACCCCCACTTTATTGTTTTCGTGAAAGAGTGGTAACTGGGAAAATCTTTTGACAGGGCCATCCATCCAAAATCCTTTACGTTGCTGTTTAAATACCTTCCTGAACCAGAAAAAAGGGGGGGGGGACCGTAAAATTGGAATGAACCGTGGGGCCAAGTATCATTGCAGGACGGTCTATCAACTGCCTCTTTCCACCAGAGAGCCGTTTACTTTGCAGTAAACAAAGGGGAAAGGGGCTGTTTTGAAATTTTTGCTTTGGGGCCCAGGATTTAAACTCATGTCAGTGATTGGGATCGTTCAGTGTGGAGGGGCAGTCAGGCATATCAGTGAGAGTGCTGGTTGAAAGGGAAACTTGTCTTCCAATCTAGACTCTGACCCCATCTGCCGGGGTAACCTCGGCCTTATGGGCTCAGATTAAGAGCTGGGAGGAAGCTGGAAGGTCGTCGGGTCCAGTTGCTTCATGTTAGAGATAAGGAACCTGAGAGCCGGCAGAGAGTCATCGTCTTTCCACACTGCACAATGGAGTTGCTTGCTTCTCCTCCTGGACTTGGTTTCCCCATCTGGGAAACCAGGAAAACAGCACCAGTGGTAATTACCTCTCAGGGCTATTAAGAGACTAAAATGAGAAAACACCTGGAATGCGTTCTCTTCCTCGCCACCTCCTGGAGGTTCTAGCGCCATTCAAAGCTCATCAGCTGAGTGCTACTTCCTACAGAAGATGCCTGATCACCCCCCTGCCCGCCAAAACCCAGGAAAGTGACTCTATATTTTGTTTTCACTTATCTGGGTACATGGTCTCCCCACCCTCCAACTCCCAGCATAATATAAGCTCCTTAAGTGCGGAAAGTGTTTCTGGTTTTGACTCTATCTCCAGTGGCTAATACTAGGTCCATCTGGCACATTTATTCAGTAGTTTTCAATCATGTCCAACTCTATGTGACCCCATTTGGCGTTTTCTTGGCAAACATACTAGAGTGGTTTGCCTTTTCTTTGTCCAGCTCATTTTACAGATGAAGAAACTGAGGCAAACAGGCTGAAGTGACTTAGCCAGGGTCACACAGTAAACATTCTGGTGCAGGTTCTCATCAACCTCACTCCAGGCCAGTTTCAACCGGTGGGTCTTCCTGCCTCAGATCTCTCCCCTCCAATCCATTCCTCATTCAGTCACCAAAGTAATTTTCCTAAAGCACAGGTCTGATCACCTCACTCTCCATCCCTTTCAATACACTCCGGGGCTCCCTATCACCTCCAGGATCAAATATAAAATCCTCTGGTTGGTGTTCCAATCCCTTTACAACCTGTATAACCCCTTCTACTTTCCAGACTTCTTACACCTTACTCCCCAAACAGGTACTCCTTGAAAGATTGACACTGGCCTCCTGGCTGTTCCAAGAACAAGGTGCTCTATCTAGGCTCTCAGTATTTTCTCTGGCTGTCTCCCATGCTTGGAGCACTGTCCCTCATCTCCACCTACTAACTTCCCTGGCTTCCTTCAAGTCCTAACCAAAATTCTACCTTCTGCAGCAAACTCTTCCTGACTCCTTTTAATTTTAGTGCCTTCCCTCTGATAATTATTTCCCATTTATCCTACATAAAACTTTTTTTTGGTATGTATATGTGTGTATATATATATATTGCATGTTGTCTTCCCCATGAGATCGTAAGCCCCCTGAGGGCAAGGATTATCTTTTGCCTCTTTTTGTATCCCCAGCGCCTGTCACAGTGCCAGGCACTTTTGTAGTTCTTGCTGCTTACTGACTACCTCTGTGACCTTGGAAAGTCATTTTTGAGCCTCAGTTTCCTCATCTGTAAAATAAGGCTGTTGGATTAGATGATCTCAAACATCCCTTCTAGGCAGCTGGATGGCTCAGTGGATAGAGCCTGGAGTCACTTCTTGGAATCCTTTACTGTCATGGACCACCCAGATCCCTCCAATTGTTAGTTTTTCTTCCCCCACCACCTCTATGTTATATTAGTTTATATTTACTTATGTATATGCTGAACAGCTCCTATAGAATGTAAATTCTTCAAGGACAGGAACTGCTTTGCTTTGTGACCTAGTATCCTCAATAGGAAACTCAGTGCCTTGAATATCAGTAAATGCTTTAAAAACTCCTGTTGATGATTGGACATATATAGTCTACATCAAATTAGGGATGGGGGAGGTGAGGGAGGAAAGGAAAAAATTTGGAACTCGAAATTATTAAAAAAAAAAGAATGTTAAAAATTGTCCTTATTATGTAATTGGGAAAAAAATAAAATATTCCTTTAAAAAAAACCCATTCGTTGAATTGAGGGTGTGTGAATTTGACAGTGCTACATGTAGGGACAGGAGAACGAGAATATAAGCAGTGAAAATTAAATGGTTAATTAAAACCTTTTGGTGCTGGAAATCCCTGGAAAACTTGGAAAGATGAGCAGGTGCTGATTCTGGTTCTTAGAATTCATGGAGCTGAAATTTGCCTTGGATTTCTAACTTTGGTGAGTGGCACATGAATGAGAGCTATTCATACCCACCAGCTTCAAGCTGAGCAAGATGGCAATGAAACATCTGGCCTTTTGGGGGATCCTTGGAACCCTGTGCAGTCTCACATAAAGACAAAAGCCCTTCTAAACCCTCTTTTGACATAATAGGATGAAGGGAGAATGAGGCTTCAAACAGCCGAACCAAAATTAGCCCCTCTTACTCTGGCTGATTTCCCACTTGAAAAATATTCCTAGACAGTTTGCCTCACAGTGCCCTAGCAAAAAGGTATTCATTTGATGGGATTATACCTAAAGAAGCCTCAGAGTTTACACAAGGGGATACATAAAACAGAACACTGAATAGTAGCCGTAGAAATATACTATTCCCTTCTTTTAGGGAGAAGGTGATGGTGAGAGGCAGGGCCAGTACTATTGTTAGCTACCACCATCTCCCTTTGGACACTATGGACATCCAAATAAGATTAGGAAAGAAGAGGATGACAAAATGGGGAGGAAGACTGGGACTGAAAGAGATTCCTTGGAGACACTATCTCTAACCTGTGTGGTGGTCAATACCCATCCCTCTCATCAGAAGGGTGGAAAGACAAAAGAAGGCACAGGTGTTCAACTGTTACGTTGGCCAACTCCCAATGGGCATTATGACAACCACTACTGTGCTATTGCATCACAACTACCAAAACCTCGGAGTGGAAGGAACCTCAGAGGCTTGGGGTCTCATCTTAGACCTTGAGTTTCCTGGGGATAGATGAAAGTTGAAGACCTTCAGTGATGGGGAATTTACTACCTCCCAGAGTAGTCCCATTCCAGTTTTCCCACTTTGGTATTTCGGAGGATGTATGATCTCATGGGAATGATACTCCCTTCGACGTGGTAGATCACAACTCATGCACATCCTCTTGTCCTAAGACTCTCCGGTCCTCCTGTCCTGGTCTTTCTGAAAATCCTACACCTGCGGTCCACTCAAAATGCTGGGAACTTTTCTCTAGACCTCTTAACATTGCATGTCTAGCAGTGATAACTAAATTTATCGTCTACTATCATCGCTAGATGTGCAATGCAATACTTTAGTGTTTGCAAACAGCTTTTTGGGTAATATTTCATTTAATTCTCACAACAGCTCTATGAAGGAGATACAACAGGATGCTGAGGGGGTGAGGGCCTTGCTGAGCTTCGAATGACAAGCAAGTGACTGAGATGGGAATTTAAATTCAAGTTGTCCCTGTCTCCAAGTCTAACATTCTTTCCATTATACCACACTTCTTGCTTTAGTTCAGGAAAGCCCCAGCCGTGCTTCCCTTCGCTCACCTCCTCTGCAGCCTCCTCAAAGTGCAGGCTTTCTGCTTCCCTTCCTCCTCTAACCCTACTGTGTCGAGCTTCCAGTTCTGGAACCATGAACATGGATGGGTTGTATCAATCTACTCCTCTATGTCCCTACTCACCATCCTTGTAAACTTTCTGGAACAAAGTGCCCCTCCCCGGTGACTATTCCTTTATGAGAATGGTTCCCTTATCAGATGGTAAACTCCCTGAGGGCAAGGACTGTGGAATTCCACCACTCTCATTCATATAGTGTAGTGTCCCTGAAATAATATCGGTGTTGAAAAGATGGGCTCTTGTTTCAGGGAGAGGTTTAGAGTAATTAAAAGCACTGAGCAATTCCCTGCTCCTCCCTTCCTACTCAATTTTGGGCCTAGTTCATTCTCTAGCCACAATATTTAACTAAGATATATGTATAGATGGATTGGCTCTATGGGATTATTCATCCCAGCTGCA